ATTCCGGTGAAAAGACGCTTGATACCACTATCGGCAATGAATGCAAATTCTCATGGGACAGCAAAGCGAGGAGAAAAGCGTCACTGACAAAAACTAGTGCCTTAAGAAAAAGGTAAGTTATATGGAGACAGACTTCGTTTGAATCGTCAGAGGCGTCGTTTATATAACGGAAAGGCGTCGTCGTCAAGGTTTTCTTAGTGTCTTTTCTGGGTTGTCTTCAACAGGGTTCAGTTTTATTTATCAAGACAACTTACTCAAGAGAACCATGGCATTGTGAAGTCCAAAGAGAAGAGAGAATTGTGCATGCATTTGCTTGATTCCGCAACCGATTACATCAAAATAATGCGCCATGTTTAATAAGCCTCTTCAACAAAAATACAGACGTCCACGTAAACTCAATTACCGGTACACCAGTATTCCATCAGTATTCAGCTTGGCGAAAAAGTTGAACTTATTGCTAAAACACCGGAACTGTGGTCACGTCACCGGTCGGTCATGTGTGGAGTATTCAGTTTGGGGACAATCACATGGTGTGGTCTGAGGCTAACTACTACTATTCTTGACAATTAGCTACAAAAGTAATATTTAACTGTATTATTCAACCCATGAACTCGTGAATAAAAATTACTCGTAAAATTACTTTCATCGGCCTTGCAGTGCAGTAACCCACACTACGGCAAACCTTATCAAGACACAATAACAAGAATATATTTAAGGGAACTGCCAAGAAAACTAAGACAAATTCTCTTTGGATTGTACTAAATTGTGTAATGTGAAATTCTTTAATTTTCTATCATTGATATTTGATTCCGTATTCCGTTTCCGTTTCTGTTTCCATTTCCGTTTCTGTTTCCGTGATTCCGTTTCCGTTTCCGTTTCCGGATTCCGGATTCCGGATTCCATGTTTTAGTGCTGCCCGTCCAATGAATGTAACACTGTAACTGTTTGCTTACCGATTATAACGATGTACAAAGAAACCCTGAATCTTGGAATATTCCTTGCTCTATTCTCACTGGATAATGAATTAACGCATCGCCAAACGACCAGTAAAATACTCCGCCGTCCTTTGGGACGCATCAATGCACTGCGGGCTCCCCTGATAAATAGAATACACCACGTGGCTTTGATTTCACTGTGTCACAGCGCCGACCGCCGAGACGACTTATCGAGGTTCGCTTGTATCGGTTTGTCAACCAACACCAGCCCACCTTCGTTTCCTTGTACTTTCCGCTAGCGTCAAACCGTCTTTTCTTCGACTACATGGCGGAACCAGCGGGAGAATTACCGCCTTTACTTCCGGTGGCGGCAGAACCGCCTGCTAACCCAGAACATCCCGCAGAACCTCCTGCAGGACCTCTCGCAGAAGCTCTCGCAGAACCGGCGGCGCAACCCGCGGCTGCTAATCAGGTAATTTCTAGTTCTGGTGCTTTTCGTTCGCTTTTAGCTTCAGCTACCCGTTTGTGCGCATTTCGTGTTTTTTCTCCAACGTTTCTAGTACTTTGTTTAGCATATTTAACGTTCCACGTGTCTCTAGGGCATATTTTTGTTTTTCTCTTCGCTTTTGTTAGCGTTGTTCGTATATGTATTTCATTTTACTCGGTCCTTTTGTTTCGGCTTGTTTGTGTCTCATTTGGCTCCGGGAGCCGATTTTTTTTTTGTTTGGGACGAAATATTTTTTGTTTTGTATGTTCGGTTTTGTCCAAGACACGAGTTATTGCGTTTGCTGTCCGGGACCGCTCGGCTCTGGGGCCGGCTTTCGTTTCGGAACGAATTGCTTTATATACGGTCCGGGACCGTTCGGCTCCGGGAGCCGGGTTTTTGTTTAAACCAAGTATTTGGTGTATGCGGTCCGGGACCGTTTAGCTCCGGGAGCCGGGTTTTGTTCAAAACCAAGTATTTAGTATATGCGGTCCGGAACCGCTCGGCTCTGGAGCCGGCTTTCGTTTCGGAACGAATTGTTTTATATACGGTCCGGGACCGTTCGGCTCCGGGAGCAGGGTTTTGTTTAAAACCACGTATTTAGTCTATGCGGTCCGGGAACGTTTGGCTCTGGGAGCCCGTTCTTTATTTAGAAAGAATTTTTGTTGGTCGGCTCAGGGAGCCGGTTCTTTTTCTTTTGTTTGGAGTGAGATATTATTGTGTATGCGGTCCGGGACCACCCGGCTCCGGGAGCCGTTTTGTTTGGGGTGACATGTTTATTGTGTTTGCGGGCTAGGTCCGCTCGGCTCCGGGCGCCTGTATTGGTCATATATGTGGTCCGGGACCGTTTCGCTCTGGCAGCCGGTTTTATTTGCCAATGATTATTGTTATACGGCCTAACCGTCCATTTTGGATCTAGCATATCCTCGTTTCGGGATCTTTCGGTTCTGCCTTGGGACCGAAATTAATAACATATAAATGTTTTACAGACGTATATATATACTTCATATTTTTGCGCCACTCTTAGGCGGACGATCGAATTAAGCTTCTTGAAGACGAATTGAAAGCTTTGGAGGAGAAGCAGGGCGTTGACGTGGTCACCACTGCTCTTACCTCTGTTCGCAACGCTCTTCAGAAGCCGGAAGCTGTTTATGACCCTTGGGAGGCTTCTGCTCACGTCGAGGCCCTGGTACGGGCAGCCAGGTCGTCCGCCCACGAAAAGGCAGACTATTACGCGGCCATTTTGGATGAATTAAAAGGAAGATCTAATGCCCTCTCCCCCTCTGCCCATAAACGGCTGCTCATGGGCCTCTTAGGCGATCCGGTTAGAGCCAAGGTTGCAAAGGAGTCCTCTGCGCTTCTCAAGACTATCCAGCGTGAAGAGCCTGGGTTTCAAGGTCGTAATAGTACTCGCCAGTTTAGGCGCCAACGCCCTTATGTCTACAGTTCGGTTAATTGTTACAGATGTGGTCTGCCAGGGCATTTCGCCAGAGATTGTGGCCGCGGACGCGGCCGCGGAAATTCTAGGCGTTAGCATCATGTAAATATTGTAAGGGTATGGGATATGTTTTTTCCTATATTATCCTTGTTTATTGGCTGGAATAAAGATTTTTTCCCCTAGTTTTAGCGTCCTAGTTTCTTTTTTTTTTTTCTGGTTTTCGCCTCATTTCTTCGTTGACCCTGGGGGGCCTTCTCAGCGCCTTTATTCTGGTCTATGATCAGAGCTGGGGTCAGCGAAGGATAGGGGATCCCACCTTCTTTTCTTCCTCTTCTTATTTTTGTATTTTCGTTCTCCGTTTTCCCAGGATTTCGCGGTTGCACTACGGGCAATCCTTGCGCTCCCGAGCCGTGACGTCAAATGGTGTGACATAAACGGGGAACCCTTATCCTTCGTTGGCCCCACCGTACCGACGGAGCTTGTTAGTAAAGATCCATCCCTTGCAGACCTGGCCCAATTGCGTTTTAGACACCCAGATTATTTCCAAGCGGGCAGCTTACATAATCATGTTGACTTCTGGGAGGATCTCTTTTCTTCAGCCGGTTACACTTGTCCTCAGGTTGATTTGCTACAGATAATCCGAGAGGGAGTGAGGGTCGATAGTTTCTTCCGTCATTTCAAGGGCAACTTCAAAGGGAAAAGTTACGATTCCGCTGTACCGCCGATTTCTATTTTCCCGAACTCTCCTTGTTGCCATCAATTTACCGATTTCATTGACACTACAGTCTTAGCCTGGGTCTCTCAGGGTGTTATCAAAGTCTACGGCAAGATTGGCGAATGCTCTCCTCCTCATTTAGTCCTCCCCTTGACAGTCGAACCATCTAAGCCGCGTTTATGCCACGACGAGCGCTTTCTTAATTTATGGATTCAAGATCTCCCTTTCAAGTTAGACCACCTCCCAGACCTGCCTCGTTATGTCCTCCCAGGGCATTTCCAGACAACGTTTGATGATAAGAATGGATACCAACACCTCAAGATTCACCCGGACTCCCAGGAATTCTTCAGTTTTTCCTGGAGGGGCTATTATTTTTCTTTCTGCACCTTACCTTTCGGGTGGAAAGCAAGTGCCTTTTATATCATAACGTTGGCCTTGTCGTCACCAGTGCCGCGCGGTCTTTGGGCGTACCTGTTTCGCAGTATATTGATGACAGGCATGTGGGCCAGTTATTCCTATCCGGTCCACTGGTTTGCCAGCCTAGTCGCCAACTCGCACGAGCAGCAGCCTTTATTTTGTTATTCCTTTTGATCTCAGCGGGGTATTTTGTTAACCTTGCAAAGAGCTCTCCACAGCCATCCACTTTTTTGTTAAATTCCTGGGTTTCATCTCCGATTCTGTCTTGCAAGCTTTTTTAGTCCCACTGGATAAAAAGGAGAAATTTAAAGCGTTGCGGGACGAACTCCTGGAATCATCTTTTGCGCCCGTAAAGAGCTTGCAGCGTTTCGCGGGAAAGGCGCTATCGTTTAGTCTCGCAATCCCGGCTTGTAAGCTGTATGTGCGGGAGGTATTCAAGGCTATCAGCGCTGTTGCCAAGAATTCGAAGCTCTCTGTTCCAATCCTGGGACCTTTGCGACAGGAACTTCAGGAATGGATTTTCTTGGACAATTGGTCTGGTCACTTACCTTGGCGGTCGGAACATCATCTCTCTGTCACAATGTTCAGTGACGCCTCCCAGAGGGCCTGGGGAGCAGTCTTGGTTAAAGATGGCCTACGCCAGCAAATACGAGATTATTGGATCGACCTTGAAGGTGATATCAATACCCTTGAGGCCAGGGTTTTATGTAACGCTTTGAGCTCTTTTTTCCCTTCTATCAGAAACGCAAGAATCGATGTGTGGACGGACAACGCGACTCTCCGAGCAGCCTGGGAAAATGGCGGTTGTAGGAGTTCTCTGGTGAATCAGGAGTTGAAAAAAATAGAAGAAATGTCTCGTGCAGGAAACTTTGTTTTGCATTTGAAATATTTCCCATCGAGTGAAACATTGCTGACGCGCCATCCCGTGCTCTGACTGACATTGATTGTTCCTTGTCCGAGGAGGCGTGGGCCCGAGTTCAAGCGCGGTTTGGACCACACACATTTGACTTGATGTCTTTGGACAGCAACTGTCGCAGAGGAAGGGATGGGAGCTCTTTGCCTCATTACTTGCCTTGGCCGACTCCGTATTCTCTGGGCGTTAATGTTTTCGCACAACCGATACCAATCGAACATAACGTCTATGTCTTTCCCCCTTTCGTTCTCGTGGGACCGTTGCTGCGGTACTTTTTTGATCAACGCCGGCGTTTCGCTTTTACCATCGTTGTCCCTCGTTTCCTCCCGCATCGCTATTGGTGGGCAATACTCCAAGCAATGGCAGTAGATTCTTTTCTTCTTGGGCGGAAAGGTGACCCGGCCGTGTTGCTTTTCCCTTCCCGCACCTCCCCCGATTTCATTGCTAGGCCCTTGCCTTGGGATCTGTGGGTTTTTCGTTGTGTCTGCTCCTGGTAAGCTAGGTATTTATGCTTGTCTCTATAGATCGAACGCCCATGGAAGCCTGCCTGCCGATGTCCCGCCTGCTCTTATCCAAACGGCAGTGACGCGAACTTTTGCCAGGCCTGCGGTAAACCCCTGTCGCGTGAGCCACCGCAAGGGACCCGTCCACATGCGGACATGCCTTTGATCAACAAGCGTTTTACAGAGTTCCAAGAATCGTATAGGAGCAAACCTTATGAACGGCAAAAGGACTCTTTAGAAGTTCAGCTGTCGAGTTTCTTGTGCTCTCTTGTACCCCCGAAGAAAGTTTCTGCTGCAACCGCGGAAGACATCGTAAAGTTTTTGATTAGCAAGGATGCTGCGGGAAAACAGAAACTCCATGTGCGCTCTTGCTCTAGTAAGACCTGTAGTTGCCCTAAGCGTCTAGCAGCCGGAACTGTCGATTCATATATAGGGAAACTTAGAGCGATTTTCAATAGGTTAGGCCGTACAGGGTTTTCTAACCCGTTGGCACATCCTTGTGTTAAGGAATATCTTAAGTTTGTAAGAGAGGAGCAAGCCCAGCAACCTTTGCCCCCTCGTCAGGCTGTCCCTTTGTTCTATGACAAATTCACCCGTTTAATTGCCTATCTTCGCGGGCTTATTGCCGAAGGCTCTGCGCTTTCTCCTCTCAATAGATACCTCCTGGTCAGGGATATAACATTCTTTGTTATTGACTTTTACGCTGGTGATAGAGCATCCGATTTGGGCCGTTTGAAGGCAGATCAGCTTTTTCGCCTTAAGGATAGGGAGGGGTTCCTTCTCAACTTTACGTTTAGTAAAACGAGGCGTGCAGGTCAGTTTCGCCCTTTTGCTCTGTTACGTATTCCAAATGTACCTCTCTGCCCGGTTTTTTGGTTGAACTATTATATTGCCGCGTGTGGGGCATTAGGTGTCCCTCTTCATGGTGAGTACCTCTTTAGGTCTTCGGAGCATAGAAAGTTTGTGTCACATCGTCCGTTCGGAGGGTCAGCCGTATCTGCACGGCTCCAAAAGTATCTTAAGGCTGCCAACATTAATGACGGAGAGACCCCTCACAGCTTTCGTGTAGGAATTTCATACACCCTCAAGGGTTTGGGATGTACTCCGGAGCAGATTGCTCAGTACGTGGGTTGACGGAGCACGGAAATGGCTTTGTATTACACGCGCCGCTCCAGTGCTTCTGCTTCGTTGCAGTTGTTAGAACGGGTTACGCTCAATCTCACTTCTACGAGCTCTCCGCCCGCCCTGCAACTTTCCCACCAAGGAAATTTGCAGAGAATTTCGTATAGTTGAATTAATACATCTTTCATGACTAAGGGACATTCATCCCAGTACTCTCCGGTGGTTATTAGTTTGTTGTCAGTTAATAAATCTTTATTGAGTTATGGAGTATTGGGTGTTGAGTGTTGGGTATTGAAATTATAAGGTCGATGTGTTTTGGGGGGAGGGTCGGAGACCTAGGTTATAGCAGGCTGCCTCAGGGAATGGCAAGGAGCGGATCTCTCTCCCATAACTTAGTTTCGCGATGTGTTAAGTGGTAGACAGTGAGGATATAGTACTATTCTCACTGAATAATGAATTAACGCATCGCCAAACGACCAGTAAAATACTCCGCCGTCCTTTGGGACGCATCAATGCACTGCGGGCTCCCCTGATAAATAGAACACACCACGTGGCTTTGATTTCACTGTGTCACAGCGCCGACCGCCGAGACGACTTATCAAGGTTCGCCCCACCCTCCTCCCCTGGTGTTGGTTGACAACTCCTCACATATCGTGATCTATTCTTGCTGTCTACCTCTTTCCACAACAATCCGCGGATCTCTCTCCCATAACTTAGTTTCGCGATGTGTTAAGTGGTAGACAGTGAGGATATAGTACGATCCCTCTGCGGCTGAGATCCTGGAGATCGCCATATTTGGTTTTAGGCACAACTGAATTATGGGTGCAGCACAGGTCACCCAGATAGTTAGGGCCTGTTGATAGATGTTAATCTTTGTGGACAGAGGTTCACAGAGGGTTGGCGAAAAACTGTCCGTTTTATATTATAGAGAGTGAAGTTCGCGCTGGGAGGGTTTTCTTGTTTGTGAGAAAGTGTATTCTTACGTAATGGAGCAGGCCATTTGCACGTGGCGTCATTTTACCATTATCAGGGTATTGCTTTCTTGTGCAAGTTAAGGCTTTTGTTATTAAAACCTTACTGGGACTACCAAATTTAAATAGAAAAGAAAAAACGAAATGAATTCTGGTCTTAGTAGTAAAAATAAAGGGATACGTCATCGTGCAAATGGCCCACAGAGCTGTCGCCCGCGCGAAGCCTGGGTTTTTGCCCCGTTTGGGGCAATTACACAGTCCTCCGCGGCCATGCGCAACTTCGCTGCAGGAGATCACGGTGAGTGAAACTCCATTTTTTTTTTTTTTGACTTTCACAAGTAGAAGTCTTGACGTTTTTGTCAGTCTTTAAATGCCGGTAACTCTGGGAGACACTCGAGCAAAAGCTCTTGGTTCTTGCCGCAAAAGTTACCGGCAGGTAACTGGGGTTAAAACGCGAACGGTAAATAGGACATCTTGCATGGAAACCGCAAGAGGTGCTCCGAATATTTCTCTCTCAAAGCTACTATTAATTGAACCAGTTAACAAACTTTAGTAAGGCTAGTATTTTATGCTGCAATACTTCTTTCTCTGAATTGCTGTTGCTTATTTATTATTCTTATTATTATTATCTTTTTTCACCAGAGAGGGAGTAAAGCAGTGGTCACTGCACTAAAGGAGCCTAAAGAACTTTGACCCTTTCGAAAAATAACAGACCCAACGGACAATACAAGGACCACGGAAATAGCATACTAGATTGTTTACAAACCCTGTGTGCTTTAAGAAACCTTTTTGACCAAATTAGAAAGATCACCATGGCAGATTATCCACTACAAGAGATAGCTAACACTTGTGTGATTGCTGTCTGATTTCACCTAAAAAGGTACCTATCTAAGAATTCCAGCCGTTGGCTAGTGTAGCTATGTAACTTACCGCCATACAGTAGTGGTGACGCACGCAAGCATTGAAATCAGTGCATACTTTTTGTTTGTTTTACTCCTCCCATATTAGTTGTTGGGACAAGGGCCTCGGAAGCAGGTGGGGGTGAAGGGGGTTGAGGGGAAAGGGGAGTGGTTCGCTGGCCAACTGTCTACCACACTCGAAAGAAGCTTAGCCACTCCAAGGCCTTTTTGGTTATTTAGAAGTTAAGTCAATATGGACACCACAGAAAAGACATCCATTTTTTACAGAGCCTCTTCTGTTGTAGGGTACCTTTTTCCAAAATCAGACAGATAACCCTAACAGATAAGCAATGATGTGTGTACTGCTTCAATATTCACTGCAGCAGATAGGTGGCCATTAGAGAAAGTGGATGAGTATTCATTGGTGCAGTTAGCCGGTCATTTGGGAAATTACCACATATTAATTCACCCTAACAGATAAGCAATGATTTGTGTACTGCTTCAATATTCACTGCAGCAGATAGGTGGCTATTAGAGAAAGCTGTTGAGTACATTCATATTGGCGCAGTTACCTTGTCATTAGGAAGTTACCACATATTATTTACTGTAACTGGATAAGTAATGATTTGTGTACTGCTTGAATACTTACTGCAGCAGATAGCTGGCCAGTAGAGAAAGTGGTTGAGTGTTCATTGGGACAGTTACCTAGTCATTTGGGACATTACCACATATTAATTTTCTGTCTGATTTTAGAAAAAGGCACCTTTCTCAGAGTCCCAACTATTGGCTAGAGTAGCTATCTAACGTTCCGTTATACAGTAGTGGTCATGCACGCGAGCATTGAAGTCATTGCATGCTGTTAGTTTATTGTTTTTCTGCTCCGGCCCATATAAGCTGTTAGGACAAGGGCCTCGGATGCAGGGGTGAGGGGAATAGGGGGAGAAGGGGTGTGGCTCATTAGCCAGTTTCTACCATACTTGTAAGAAGCTTGGCCACTCTAAGGCCTTTTTGGTAATTTAGAAGTTAACTCGATATTGGAACCACAAAAAAGACATACATTTGTTACAGACCCTCTTCTGTTGTAGGGTACCTTTTTCCAAAATCAGACAGATATATATATATATGTAATTTTTTTTTCTTTTTTTTACCTTTGCTCTTTTATTTTCATTTTTTTCTTTTTGTCATTTCGCTTTTTTTAGCCTAGAGCTATGATTAGTACGACTATCTAATATATTTTAAGATTTACTGTAGCTCTGCCATTGATTTTCCCATGTGTAATTATGATAATATTTTGTTCTAATTATTTAACTGAGAGAGCCCATTCCTTATAAGCCTGGTGGCTTTTCTTGGGCTTCCTCGCCATGAGAGTTTAAATAATTAGATTTTTTTGCTTTGTACAACTTATGGCAAACAAAACAATAAACAATAAACAAAGGCTGTTAAGCTTATTCAAAAATTATCACCAAGGGGGGAACTACGTGCTCCAATCCAAAGACTCACTTTACCCGTAGCTGCAATCCATTCTTCGAGGTTTGGATCTGTAAATCTGTACATCACTATCCGTGAGAATTTAAAATGCTGCTGAAAACGCTGATACGAAATTCACACTCCAAAATCAGTCGGCCGTGAAGGGTCAAAAGCTTGGGCTTTGTCAGTAGTCCCTCGTTTTTCTCTCTCCCCACCGCGTTGCGCGTTCCTCGCGTGGGGTGATTTTCACGCGCGCAAGCGTTTCGCTCGCTCTACTGATATCCCTGAGGAAAAATGGGGACTACTCGTAGTCTAGAAAAATGGGAAGGCTGGGGACTCTAAGGCCGAACGTCCTAGCTCGAAGCTCCATAAATCCCATAAAATGGTCCACACTCGCCAAAATTTGTCTTTCCATTCTATGCTTCTGAAGTCTCAGATTTCATCACAACCGCCAGCAAGGCGAAACGAAAACAGAGCCTGATACAAACCGTCTACGAAACGTCTGCTGCCCACTTTTTGATTGATTAACGTTTGCAGAATCAGTCAACCAAAATTACTTCCGTTACTTGTTTTTTAGAATGCAAATTTTCCATGGGTGGGAAAAATGCAGACTCGCTGACTTAGCAAATAGCTTTTATCTTTTATAAATTTGTTTAACTAAAAATAAAACAGTCAGCACAGTCACATTTAACTTCTTCTGAGATTAAAAGAGATCTCGAAGGTTATTTCTCTTGGCAAAGAAGGTAAAAAGTTTTCGAAAAGACGGCCACACCAGATGTTTTAGTTTTAATTTTATGGCTGGGCGTGCTCGAATTTAAAATAGTGAAATTAATTTTTTCTTGATGCCTTCATATTTTCCTCGGCAATTTCCCACGATTTTCAGTACATAAATCTTTAAAAACCTTGGAGAAATATATCGCGAACTTTTTCAAAGGATATATAAATTATCTCAGAACAAACCAAACGCAATTTGAAAAATTTTTATGTCAGGTTACGGTTCTCAGATGATGTTTCACTTCCCAGCATCTGCTCGCAGTAACACTTTGCCGACAACTTGTTACCACTTATTCTAGAATTCCAGTTCTCAAACTCATTAATCATTCATGAAGAAAATACAAATTAAGGAAATTTTAAATGTTTAATGAGTGTTTAGAAATCAGATGAAAAACTGCTCTCTTTTGCATCCTTAATTTTTCGTTCTAGAATCATTTAGTTTGAGAAGTAATATCAAGCATTCGACACAGTGTTTAATCAACTGTTAAAATACCTCGAAGTTCGTTAAAAAATACTCCGCCGCGCGTAGTATTTTCAACTCTCTTCACTGTGTTTCATCTGGTGATGAAACAGTGCGTCTCATGCTTGATATATTACATAACTGTGTATTTGGATATTTTATCTCAACAGCGTATGAAGCCAGACAAGCCTCCAAATCCTTCTATAACATTCATCCCCCAGACAATATCCAATGGACCTTTGTCGGCTCTGCTTGCTGTGAAGCCAGCCTGGACCAGTGGTGAAATAGAAAGATACGTCAACAATAAGTTCTGTGAGAAAAAGTACCTTTGTTCAAGGTGCGATGGGACTTTGGCGTTGAAGTCAAACAATACAGATGACAAGGGCTTGCCCCTTAATTCCCATCCAGATATATTCTTTCTTGAAACAGATGGCTAGAAAC